GCAGATAAGATATACACCCTGGCCAACATTTACGCCCCCAACCGACGGCAAGCACCCTTTCTTCGCAATACGCTGCACATACTGGAGGACTTTACGGATGGCATTCTGATAGTGGGGGGAGACTTCAACGTGCCCCTGGACCCAGTGCTAGATTCTTTGTCGGGACACAGCTGCATCCCGCAGAGCAGCATACGGTCTATTCGTAGATCACTGGAGGACCTAAGATTTGCCGACTGCTGGAGGACACTTAACCCATCGGTGAAGGATTATACCTACTACTCCGCCCTCCACAATCGTTACTCGCGCATAGACTACCTCTTCATCACACAAGAGGGACTTACCCGCTTGCTTAGATCCGACATAGACCCTGCCACGTGGTCAGATCACGGCTCGGTTTGGATGGAACTGGAGTCCCCTCTGTTCCGCCCATCGTCCTGGACCTGGTGACTCAACGAGGCGCTGCTGCTGGACCCCACCGCAAAAGATCAAATAAACCAGGAGTTGGAACACTATTTTAGGGAAAATGGCGTGCCTGAAGCATCCCCGATATCCGTGTGGGAAGTCCACAAAAGCGTCATTCGCGGTATATTTATCCGCATTGCGTCGCATAAACGAAAAGCAAATATGATCGAGATGACCGACCTGTACCAGAAGATAACTTCACTGGAAAGCCAACACAAACGGTCACAGCTGAACGGAGTCTACGGGGAACTGATGGAACACAGGAGGAAACTTAAAGACCTCATCACACGAAAACACCTTCGCAATCTACAACGTACAAAAGGGTTCTACTATGCCCACGCTAATAAGGGGGGGAGATACCTGGCTAGGCTACTAAAGGGCCCCATGCCCCACAGGCAAATATGACAACTACGACTGGCCTCAGGCGAGGTGACCCCCTTCCCACAGAAGATAGCTGATGAGTTTCGGACCTTTTACCAAAACCTTTACAATCTACATCCTCCCCCTCGGACGACACGCAAAGAAAGCCACAATGCGCGAATAACAGACTACTTGTCCAACACGATCACCAACACGATCGACCAGGACTCGGCGTCCATGCTCGACGCACCGATCAGCATGGAGGAGCAAGCGGCAGCCCTCAAAGTATCCAAATCGGGCAAGGCCCCGGGCCCAGACGGTTTCTCCAATCTTTTGCTGCCATGGCTGACCAAAGCGATTAATGCGGTGGGTGAGGGCGGGAGCCTGGGCGCGGAGTCCCTGGCAGCGACCATTACAGTCTTGCTTAAGCCGGGAAAGGACCCACTGCTCTGCGGAAGCTATCGTCCCATCTCCTTGTTAAACGTAGATGCCAAGTTATTCACCAAGGTTATAGCAAGCAGACTCAATCACCTCCTACCGGACCTGATTCAGCCCGGGACGGGAGGCTAGGGATAGCACTTTGCGGCTGTTCTCCATCCAACAACACGCCAGGACAACGAAAACCCGGCTACTACTCTTATCAACTGATGCGGAAAAGGCATTTGATAGAGTCGACTGGACGTACATGATGGCCACTCTACAACGGATGGGATGTGGGCAGAGGTTCCTCACGTGGATATCAGCCTTATATAGTAAACCACATGCGACTGTGAGAGTCAACGGGTCCACAACTGCCTACTTCCCGATCAGCAATGGCACCCATCAGGGTTGCCCACTCTCGCCACTTCTGTTCGCGATGTCATTAGAACCACTTCTCCAGGCGATTCGCTTAAACCCAAACATTCAAGGCTATAACTGGCAAGACACACACCATAAAGTAGCCACGTATGCGGATGATCTCTTGTTTTTTAAACAAAGTCCTAGGACAACACTACCCTGCCTGCTCTCGGAATTCAACAAATTTAGTCGCATCTCGGGCTTCAAGCTTAATCTCTCAAAATGCGAAGTCTTGAATATCACGATTCCTACAGAAGAATACGCATCCCTTGACTCGCAATTCCCTTTCCGTTGGTGTTATGGTAAAATGAAATACCTGGGAGTCTGGGTGGCCACGGTCCCTGACGACACTTATCGACTCAACTTTGTTCTCCTCCTGAAGTCAATCGTGACTGACCTGAATAGATGGTCATACCCTCACATAACATGGCACGGCAGAGTGGCAGTACTCAAAATGAATATCTTACCGAGAATTCTCTACCTCATGCAGACAATCCCACTGGCCATACCAAGTACCTTCTTTTCCTCTCTGAAAACGGCTATAATTAAATTTGTATTGCGCGGCGATCGTTCCAGAATCCGACATGACATCCTTTGCCGACCACGAAACCACAGAGGACTCGCACTCCCGGATATCAAGAAATATCATCAAGCCACGATAATGCAACGGATACTGGACTGGCACCTGGATCCCATGACGAAACAATGGGTAGAGCTTGACAAAGGCCTACTCGGACCATCACTCGAGATGGAGATATGGGGAAGTGCGAGGGGACAGGTGTCCAACGAAAACAGCGGGGGCCTGATACAACAAACGCTGCTCGGCTGGAGGTCGCTGAGGAACCTGGGCCACAACTCGCCTACCCCCAGCCCCATGATTCCGCTTACGCATAACGTGACTTTGGGAGGAGGACTACCAGTTCAGTTATACATGTTATGGTACTTTGTGTATATTAATTATCAGATATCCAATCTGTAAATTGGCTTCCATTGCAAACAAATACCAATTGTGTTGCAAACTTTCAATATAAACAAATTTCATACTTTTTTTATACACATTGGTACAAAATCTCTGAGGAGCCTTGTTAGTAGCGGTTATTTTTTTTTTTTTATATTTTATATATTTTCGTTTGTATGTACCAAGTATGAAGTAAGTTTTTTTTTACTATTTAGCAGACATGGAGATTTGTTTTTGGTCAAATATGATTTGTCAGAATTGTGGGAGATTGGAGAATCATGCAAAAAAGAAATGAATTCACCACATAACTGAATAATGATGCATATGAAATGGAAAATGAATAAGCCATTTAGTTTGTCCCATGACTCGAAGATACTTATTTGCCGCTGTGGCACTAGCAGCTAATGGCAGATAGTTTTAAAAAAAAAAGCGTGTGAGGGTCCATATGATTAATACAAGGATGGTTTCATGCCTCAAGTGGAGATTTGTATTCTAGATAATGATCAACCCGTGCTCACTGTATTAAAAGGGTAGTGACTACCCTTTTAATACAGTGAGCACGGGTTGATCATTATCTAGCGTGTGAGGGTCCATATGATTAATACAAGGATGGTTTCATGCCTCAAGTGAAGATTTGTATTCTAGATAATGATCAACTCATGCTCACTGTATTAAAAGGGTAGTGACTGAACCCTTACCGGCTGCACGTGTCTTACCTGTACATGGAAAGCTGCTGTGGTTCCTTGATGAGCCAGCTGCCCGTGAGTTAACATGTCCCGTGGAGAAGCACTCTGTCCTGTAAAGCCTCACCAAAAAAAAGGAGTGGTGTGTTTAGTATTGTTCTGATCAGTTTAATACCTTCCGCGTCTCCTATCGGTGGACGTGTACACGGCATTGATTTTTGTAACAGGGAGATGGAAGAAGAGGCTTGGTCGGTCCTCTTACTGCAAATTTGGTGCACTGCGCGGTAAAGCTAATGTGACACCAGATAGGAGTGGTGTGTTTAGTACTATTTTATCAGTTTAATACCTTCCGCGTCTCCTATCAGTGGACGTGTACACGGCATTGATTTTGTAACAGGGAGATGGAAGAAGAGGCTTGGTCGGTCCTCTTACTGCAAATTTGGGGCACTGCGCGGTCAAGCTAATGTGACACCAGATAGGAGTGGTGTGTTTAGTACTATTTTTATCAGTTTAATACCTTCAGCGTCTCCTATCAGTGGACGTGTACACGGTATTGATTTTTGTAACAGGGAGATGGAAGAAGAGGCTTGGTCGGTCCTCTTACCGCAAATTTGGGGCACTGCGCGGTCAAGCTAATGTGACACCAGATAGGAGTGGTGTGTTTAGTACTATTTTTATCAGTTTAATACCTTCCGCGTCTCCTATCAGTGGGCGTGTACACGGCATTGATTTTTGTAACAGGGAGATGGAAGAAGAGGCTTGGTCGGTCCTCTTACTGCAAATTTGGGGCACTGCGCGGTCAAGCTAATGTGACACCAGATAGGAGTTGTGTGTTTAGTACTATTTTTATCAGTTTAATACCTTCCGCGTCTCCTATCAGTGTGTACACGTGTACACACTGACACAGAGCAGAATAGGGAATGTTATCCCAACATCGGGTCACTTGGCAGATATGGATTGACACCTGTCCTAAGGATCCCTGATACACACTGACACAGAGCAGAATAGGGAATGTTACCCCAACATCGGGTCACTTGGAAGATATGGATTGACACCTGTCCTAAGGATCCCTGATACACACTGACACAGAGCAGAATAGGGAATGTTACCCCAACATCTGTCACTTGGCAGATATGGAGCGGGCTATGGATTGACACCTGTCCTAAGGATCCCTAATACACACTGACACAGAGCAGAATAGGGAATGTTACCCCAACATCAGGTCACTTGACAGATGTAGTTGACACCTGTCCTAGGAT